AAAAAAAAAAAAAAAAAGAAATCATCTACCATTTGATTTGCTTTCTGCTAAACATGTCCTCAAAATTATAAATCCATCATTCAATAAAATTAGGCAACAAAACATGCACCAGGGTCTGTATCTAGTGATCGGCAATATCTGGGATCTTAACAGGATACGAATCTATCTCATCCAACCACACGTTCCTCGAATCCGGTTCGAGCTTCGAGACACACTCCCAAACAGCACTATTGCACTTGAACCCACTCCCGAATGCAATTTGCCACACCCTATCCCCCCTTTTGACCCTATCCTTCGCCTCCAGATAACTCAGCTCGTACCAAACTGAAGAAGAAGACGTATTTCCAAATCTATACAGTGTCATCCTCGAAGCCTCTACATCCTCATCCTTCAGCCTCAGCCGCCCCTCGACTGCATCAATCACTGCTCGTCCTCCCGCGTGTATGCAGAAATGCTCGAAGGCTTTCTTGAAATCCGGTGCATACACCTCTCTCTTATCACCATCATCATTATTATTACTACAGTATTTTCGAATTTTGCTACTGAAGACTAACCAAGCATAGATTAGCTGCTCAGAAACCGGCAAGCAGCGCGGGCCCAGTTCTGTTATATTCGCTCTCAGTGCATTTCCCGCAACTCTTAGAAGGGATTTGGACAGCGAGACCCCGGTTTCCCCAGCATCGTCCGTTTTCTGGAAAACCGACCCGTAGGACTCGTCGTCCGAGCCCATGTGGGTCCTGATCAGGTGTTTTAGTCGGTACTTGGCCCGGGCCCGATCTCCTCTCCTGTTGGACAGTAGAATGGCTGCACCTCCCATTCGGAACAGCACGTTCGCCAGGAGCATCGACTTGACGTTGCCTGGATACCCGCTGGAGGTCACGGCCTCCATGCTGAGGACGAGCGCACGAGCGTCCTTCCCGGCCGCCCTCAGGAGGTCCCTGGCCAGCCCGACTGCCACGAGGCCCGCACTGCAGCCCATGCCGCTGAGGCTCGTGCTTTTCACGTCCTCTCGAAATCCAAACTCGTTTATTAGCATGGACGTGATGGAGGGAGTCGGGCAGAAAATGCTGCAGTTTGAAACTAGGATATCAATGTCTTTTGGGTTCAGTTTGTGTTTTTCGATGAGGGCTTTGACTACGGTGAAAAGTACTGTTTCGACTTCGAGTTTTGTGTGGGAAAGGGAATTATATGGTGGGATGTGGTGCACTGCGAGGGGCAAGCAGGTCTGTGGGCCGATGCCCGACCGCTCGATCACTTTGGTCAGGAAGTCGATGCCATCCCTCGAGACGTGGCTGCATATGTTGAAATGCTCGATGAATGTGGCAATCGAGACCCGGAGATGAGCTGGAGGCTTGTAGCACGAGAAGTCTATGAGGTAGACCGGCCGGGATTTGGAGGAGAGGAAGTAGATGAGTGAGAGAAAAACGATTATGGGTATGAGGAGGTAAGGGCAGGGGAGGGTGGTGTTTGCCATTGTAGGAAGTGTGTGTATCCTTGATTTTTCTGTTTGTATGCAGCTTCTTTGTTATTGGGAGTGCTGTTTGAATTTGATGGGGGAAGTGAGACTCCTGTTTCTGAGGTCACGTATTTTGCATGTTGGAACACAGTTATCATGCAATTCTCCTCCTTTTGTGGTGAAAATTTGCTTCAAGCAATCAAATACCTGTGCTCTTTCCTTTCAGAACCAACTTCACAAACTTTTCACATAGATGAGGCCTTTTTTATTTATTCGTAGTTTTGTTATGAAGAGATGACACGGCTTATCTGTTCATTTGAAATTATTCATAAATGATGTACTAACACATGATCTAAAATACATATAGTTAAAACATATGCTCATAAATCAATTCATGGAAGAATTCATAGAACTTTTGTTAGCAGTTTTACAATGCATCTATGGGATGGTATAGTTTATGGAGTCGTTTACAATTATTCACATATAATATATTGACATGTATTTTATAATAAGTACAGTTTAAATAGGTGTCAATCATTCATTCATTAAATCCATAAGGGAGCCATTCGTTAACTTCTTAGAATTATGTTTGTTACCAATACCAAACAAGACAAACTATGGATGTGGGTATAGTAAGTTCTTAGACTTTATATACAAACTCTAATTCTCAACAAATGTCACAGCACCTTCCACCAGAACAATGTATTCTAGGGCTAAATCGCTGATACCCCTACATGGAGTGCCCTCACTGTTGGGATCTATAAGGATCTCATTAGGTACAAGTTACGAATTCAATAGCAAACGTAAACTTATGCACAGTAGATCTAAAAGTTTGACGTAAGAAACTTACGGTTTAAAATTTTCTCAATCTGGCGGATTCGGATTGACTGGATGAGCACACGAACAAGTCGGGATCACGAAAGGAATGTCTCGGGCTCGCGATCGGGTCGTGTGGGCTTGTCCGGTTGCGTTCATGTCACGCCAGTTCGGTCACTTCGGTATTCCGGTCGGCGGCGATCGACTCACGGCGGGGTCGGCAGCGATCCGACTGGTCGAGGTCGGGGTCCTCGGCCTCCGTCGTGGTTCGTTGGCTCCGGCTAATCTCCGGGGTTGATGAATATATGTATCTCAATTACTTCGAGATCTTCTTGTATATCTCAAACACCTCTTCAACTAGCATCGATGGAGCAACGAGAAGAATATGAAGTTCGAACAGAAACTTGAGAGAGAGAGAGAGAGAGAGAGAGAGAGAGAGAGACGTGCGGCTATTAGAACACACGTAGGAGAGTTCTGATCTCTTTTTTTTTCATGAGCCTAATGATGTATATACAGAGCTACAGGACCCTTAGGAGATTAAAAATAGGGCCTCTTAATTAATTAGACCAACTGTGGGCCAAGATCACTCCTCTAAATAATTAAATAATATTATAGACCACTAACATAATATTATTGCACTCCCTTTTCTTAGCCCAATTTACAATTGAGACTTCAATAATAATTACCCTAATTATCTACCCATGCTTAAGATATAATGTCCATTAAATAATTCGATTACTGATAATCAAGAATTAATTAATATATTATTATTTTATCGAAGCTAGCGCTCGTTCATCACATTATTACTATGCCGGAATTTAATCTACTTGCAGGGTTTAGCATAATAATCCTTCATGAACTCACTTCGAGGACATCATTAAATTAAACGTACAAGGTGACCGTAAATATCTTAATAACACATCATACATACAGTAATATTACCCAAGACAATAGGAATATTAATTCAGCGAACTAAACCTCACCCAAGTGAACCAAAATAATATATACGGCATATATATGTCTATTTAATATTTTACGTGTTAAGAGAACGCAGTAATTAACCGAGGCCTAGTTCGTTTACGACGATCAGTATAAACGAACTTCTCATCTCTGGGATCTTGTTCAATACATAAATGTATTGGTGAACTAATCAGTCAAGACAAACTGTACCGTTGACACTACAACCGTTCAGATGGAGTGTCTTCCTTCTAGGTTGTGAACCACAATTCTTGTTTCGCAAGTAACTAATAGAATGATCTTCGGTTCGCCCGATGACGACCCATTCTATTTAAGTGCAAAACAACTATATATAACTTGTTTAACCTAACATGATTCTCATTCATATAACACGAACACTCACATGTGTGTCAATAGCCAAAACCACTTATGCTACTTTGCATTTTTTTTTAGGTGAAATTGTAATTGGGTATAGGATTAATATCAGGCCCAATATACTTCCGCGAAGCTAAATAACTCCATAATTTTTGTAGCTCTTTTTGACTAAGGTAGCTCTAGGTAAGATGGGTTGCAAATCCACCGGGTGAAAAATTATTGCCCCTAGTTATTTAACGAACGACCACCACTGTCCAATCCCAACCTTTTGAGGAGGATGATCCACATTATCCACTCCTTCAGAAACCACTCAACATAGACTCGGTTTGTTTCCTACTCCAGGCATACAAGGACTCAATTTTGGAGATAAATAAAAATTACGAAAACATAATGTAAAACAAAAGCCTCTTTTTTTTATTAATAACCCAAAGAGAATTTATGACATAGTAATTTTCTTTAGGGAGGAGAAATTACTTTTAGTCTCTCATAATAGAGACGATAATACAAACACATATAAGATTTCTAGAAAAGAAGATTTACACATCTTAATACTCAGCGTATTACAAACCATTACAAGATCTTTATTATGAGAAAGGTGAAGAGAATGCTCGATGCCTTTTGTTTCCTCCAAATCTCTTTTTATAGAGGGTGGAGACCCTCTATTATTATTATTTCACCAACGGTAGGTGAATATTTTTGCTGAAATCACATGCTCTCCGGGTCCGAATTACTGCTCCACTCCACTATTAAAAGTGGCCTCTTGTCGTACTTCACATGGCATGGTCCATGTTGTCCTCCAAGTGTGTTATCGTTATGACTCGCATTTTCGTCTGTTTTTTCCCCCAAAAGATATTCTTTCTCCTTTTTCCTGTCCCATCCTTATCGTAGTAGGTATCAAGGCGTTATTGAGAATTGACTTGTTTTCTCTTTACAACGGTCAAGAAATTTAATTTTTTGAAATTTTCTTTTTTTCTTCTTTGGGTATCTTTTTGCTCCCGCTGTTCTCGTTTTACAAGAAAAAGTTTTCCGAACATCAACTTCTCCTAGCTTGGACCATGCTGGCAAATGTGCCCGTGCCATTTCAAACCGTATAATATATTACACGCTTCATAGCGTGCATTCTTAGTGACTGCTAACTTGTTTTCCCACAAGAACTTTCTTTTGTGTTTAAACAAATTGTTAGAAAATTTTGAAGTGGTTGTGGTTAATGAATTAAGTAGAAATGGTCCGTTCGGAGAATTTTTTAAAATATTTTACTTTATCCATTTATGTATGGCATACCTATAATCCTTATGCCCTTGTCACTGCAATTTCATCCTCTGGCATGGAGGTGTATAATGGGATTGTTTTAAGTGTCTTGTTCTGGTTTAGATTTCTTTTATTCGACAATTGTAACTTAGTAAAATGAAAAGCATCATGCTTTCCATAATCACTTGCAAGTTCTAGTGCTATGGAGATGAACTTGAGATCCAGAGTTTTTTCTCTTTTTTAAATATGAAGTATTCGACCATGAATCACACAACCTTTTTAACCCAGTCTGGGAAACTAGATATTTCAGTAAAGCCTAGTGCTACTGTAAATATGCATTTGTCTCAATCTGCCCACTTTCTTTTGGCGGTTGGATAAGCTCCTTCCAATGCCCATACCCGTTGTTATATCTCGGATGCATCGACAATAAACCTTTCAAATTTAACGCCTATCTTTGTCATCAATTCTTTCGTGGTTGAATTGTATTCCTGCAAAATAAGTTGGACGACTAGTATTTTTGTTAGTGTCGACCTTTTTCTAGCTTCTCTGGGGCCTCAGATTGACCTCTCCCTCTTTTACCCCAAAGGTGCTAGTTTTACAAGTCACTTTGGATTTTAAATCCTCATTCTTAGTTTCTTTAAGGTCTAAAGAAAAACTTTCATAAGCAGGTCTGCTTTACCAAGTAGAGGTGCCTGATTTTCCTTTTGAGATTATTTGAAGCCCCATTATCTTTAACTCTTCTTTGTTAACCAATGGTGGACCTGCCTTTCTAAGGAGTTCTTGAAATACGTCCCAAAGTAGGGTTTGTGCCATTCTAGTATCCTTAATAGTTGATTCAACCTTCTCCAGGCCAGTTTTCTGAGCATTTCCAGCTACTTGGGCATTAATCCTGAGTAGCTCGAAACTTTTGGCCACCTCCTCGATATTTTCTTGAAAATGCGTTACTCTTTCACTGATCGTGTATTTTTTAGTACCTCAATCTCTAAATATGCAAGAATATTTTCATGAGATTTGATAACTACAATATCATAATCATAATATTGGCTTTCAACTTGCCATCTTAATGATCTTGTCTTTTCTGATTTATATTCAGTTTCATTTTTTCAGAAAAGCTTTAACAACTAAGTTATAAATTTTTAAAGTAAACTTTTTTTTATAACAAAAATAATGGCCATTTTTTAAAATCCTTTATAACTGCAAAGAATTATTTTCTTTGATATACAATCAGTTTGCTTCACTCTCGGTAAATAGGCCGTTGGAATATCGTCAAGAAACTTCTCCATTTGGTGTGGCTTTAGCAAGGACTGTTTCCCACTAATGATCACTAGTACCTATGTACAAAACTAGTTCATCTTCATCTTCTGAAATTGCTAACTTTGGAAATTGCTTACAATCTAGTTCATCTTTATCTTCATCACTAGCACATGTGTGGCTTTGGAAGTTGCTAACATGAATGAGAATCATGATTAAATAATTCTAAATTATGATGTTTTACATTTGGATAATATGATTCATCATAGATTGATAGGAGATCATATTATTGGTTACTTGTATAACATAAACAATGGTTCACAATCTAGATGGATTTGAACAACACATCGCGAATGGTTGTAGTGTTTATT